CTGACATTTCATTTACATGTTTAGAACTCCTTTGAGCATTTATTATAAAACCAGCCTAATAGTGACAAATTCTCTTAGTATTTGCTTGTCTGGGAAATATTTTTCTTTTGCTTATGAAGCTTATTATGTCAGGATATAAAATGTGTGATTAACAGTTTCTTTTTAAGCAATCTGAAGATAGGATCCCAATCTCTTCTGTTTTATAAGGTTTCTGCTGAGAAATCTGATGTCAGTCTGATGGATTTTTCTTTATAGGTGACTAGACACTTTTGTCTTGATATTCTAGGATTTTTCCCTTCATATTGACTTTAGACGACATCTGATGACTATTTCTTATGGTGCATTGCATCTTGCAATATCTTTTTCTAGTGTTTGTTGCACTTCCTATATGTGGGTGTTTAAATCTCTTGCTAGACTACAGAAGTTCTGTCAATTATTTCCTTAAGTAGGCTTTCTAAACTTTTGCTTTTTCTTCTCTTTCAGGAATGCCAGTCATCAGTAACATCAGTTGCTTTATGTAGTCCCATACTTCTCCAAGGCTTTGTTCATACTTTTTAAATTTATTTTTTCTTTATTTTTGTTTAACTGGACTAATTCAAAACTCCTGTCTTCAAGTTCTGAGAATTTTTATTTCTGCTTGTCCTAGTGAATTGTTGAAGCTTTCAAATGTATTTTATAATTTCTTCATTTTTTTCATTTCCAGAAATTGTTTTTTCTAAGATATCTGTCTCATTGGCAAGTTTTTAAACTTTATATTCTGAATTGATTTTCTGATATCTTTGTATTGGTTTTTAGAATACTCCTTTATCTCATTGAATCTCTTTAAAATCAATATTTTGAATTATTTATCTGATATTTCAAAATTTTTATTTTGATTCAGATTCATTGCTAGAAAATTACTGTGTTCTTTTGTGGATGCTGTAACACCCTGCTTTTTCATACTTCTTGTATTATTATGATGTTTTCTTCATATCTGGAGAAATAGTAACTTCTTATTTTTGAATTTTATTGAAATGTAACTTTTTTTCCTTGAGGACATAACTCTGAAGTATGTTGAGTAGAGCTGTTTACTTCTGGGCATGTTAAGTGGTAAGACTGTATGATTTCCTTGGTTATAAATAGACTTGGTGTGGTGGCTTTCTCAAATGCCGTTTGTAGTAGTGGTGTACCTGGAAGGTAAGCAGGCTCACAGTGTCCTGAGAAGCCACAGTGGCATTGATGATTGTGGTAGCAAAGGGCATGGGAATGTTAGGTTATTCCCAAGTGCTATGCATTTCTGTCAGCTGATTTACTATGGGGTTTGTAGGTTAACCTCCAGACCAGTAGGTGACACTTGTAGGTAAAAGCCAGTTGCTCTTGTAGGAATAAAGTTTATGCTTGATCTTTGTTAACCATGAGATGTACTTCATTGCCCAGACAATGGCTGAACCATGGAACATTCAGTGGGCTGTGTCCTGTGCTCAGTCTGAGTGGAGGACAAATCTGGGCAGAGCTGGACTGGGCGAGTCAGCATTTCACATTGCCCAACAATGGGCACGAGCACCAGCTCTGACAGGGGTCTAGAGGCAGTCAGCAGGTGGCTGGAGATAAGGCTGGGCAAGAAACAGAGCAACTACTGCTGCACCAAGTTTTCTGCATGGGAAATGATAGGTGTCCCAGGTGCCTACTCCAGGTGGTCAGGGGACCTACCTCCTACTCGTCAAACCTGAGGGGCTCACACACCATTCCAAGCAAGGGAGCCAGTTGGAACACTCAGAAATATCACATGCATTTCTTTTACTTTGTTTTTCAAAGCTGCCTGTGGTCACAAAATCGCTACCCAGAAAAATCATTCCTCTTCAGCATTATTCCTCCTATTTTGGTCTATGAAGGAGGGGCATCCCAATTCTAGCACCCACAGCTGGAGTGCACACCACACCTACCTCTCAGATCTGGCTGTGGGGGCTCTTCCCCTGCTCCAGATCCAGCACTCCAAATCCTGGTGCAAGACTAATACTGGTGCTGCCACCACTTCTAGGTTTCTTGGACCCCCCCAATTTGATACAAGTTAGAATCAAGAATGGCATTGTCTTATTCGGTCCCAGGTCTGGAACAATGCCTGGGGTATTTCCTGGTATTATTCCTTTTCACACTCTTCTGGCCTCTCTCCTAGATAGATCTAGGACTTAGGAGGGACAGGGTGTTCCCCCATGGCCTAGCTTGCACAGTTTCCCAGTAGAAAGGTAGATTGTAGAGGGACATTTTCTCTGCATCTCCTATATTGGAGCTTCACTCAGTTCTCAGCCAGACCTAGCCACAGTCTCCTTGCTCACTTCTCTTCCCCAGTATCTGACAGTTTCACTTTCTATTTATTTTTCGTTTACTTCCTGGAAGAAATTCTTCCAAGTAGATGAGGCATGGTAGAAAGGCCTCTGATGCACCATCTTGGGAAAAACAATGAGAGTTCTATAGATTTCTGACTATGAAATGAGTTTCTGAAGTGTTTTTTTGCTATAAGATAAAGAAAGTAAAAGAGTAGTTCAATGGCAAAGGTTTTGTTGCTGCTTTTGTCACTATATGCTGCTTTAACATCAAATCAATCTACTTGTAAAATACAAAAATAATAGAAAATGAAAAAGTTAATCTTTCAACTAATTAGAATATATACAAATTAAAATTAAATATGGTTTATATCACAAAATCTTAAAACCCCTTCGTAATACCACATTGTATTTATTCATACAGTCACTCAGCAGATATCCATTAAATGGTTATGTTGAGGAAGGTATTATATTAGGTGCTGGGGCGGGGTTGAGGATGAATTAGACATAAATTCTGCCCTCCATGAGCTTAATGTATAGGAAGAAATCTGTTTCTGTCATTTGGAAAATTGTTTCTAGTAACATGTATTGACCTGCACGTGTGCTCTTTAAAATGATAGTAAATATCCTTATTGTTAAAGTTTCAATGCAGCTCAATATAAGATACTATTCTGTATTCATTTCATATGAATATTTCATACGAAATGGACATACATTTTCATAAGCCTTGCTTCCTGTATAAGGCATCTGTATCCTCTAGGTGTACTTGTTAGTTCATTGTTCATTGTTCGGGCAGATCACTGGCTGTCCATCCATTAGAGAAGAACTTCCTGGCTTTCTGCTCTGTTGCAGTCTGGTAAGCCCTCTTCCTAATATCCTGGTATGTATGTACCTGTGAGACAGATGGGCTCTGGTGAGGAGAAAGGGATGCACTGACTAATTGTAAAATAAGTTATTCCTATCCCAAACTTCATTACATCCTACTGAAGACTGTTACACATAGAGATAGACCTAGAAAGGAAATCTTTTTTCTATGATTATCTTTTCTTAGGTATTTAGCCTCTAAGTAAACTAAGGTTTCTGCTATCGGTCTCCCTCCCTGGTGAATGTGCACTAGAAAGGGAGTATCAGAGCTCAGTTCATCTGTATCCAGTAGCCTGCTGACCATTCCTATTCAATTTCACTTCAAGGAGCAGACTTAAATCCTTTTTATTAGGTATCGTAACTACAGTGATTCCCTTTCCATGCAGTATCAGTTGGCCTAGCTTTTTAATAATGTTACAAGTTAAAGTGTATTACTTTTCACTGTAAATAAAATTTGTTTAAAATAATAGCAATCTTTAAAAGAAAAATAGCCATTGTTCATATTGCATATGTTCCTAACATTATTTACATTGGAAGGAAATGTTGCTCAGCATGCCCCTTTTTATTTTATAATTAATGTCATCATCTCCCACTTTTACATTGACATCTGTTCTTTCTTTATTAAACCTGCTGTGATCTCAAGCCTTGAAGTTCTGATGTCTTATATCCTTCTCAGGGAATATCCTTTTTGATAGCTCAAAGAACTGACATTAATCTTCCTTAGCCCTGGACTGTGTAACGGTAGAGCTAAATGGGATATGTGGGGCTTTTATTCATTAGAAAGTGTTACAGGTGTGCACATTCCATAACTTTTGGTATAAAACTTAGTTCTAAATATCTGTTCAGGAGAAGGAAATGCCATCTGAATGACATGATTTTCTCATTCCTAGGAGATAGCAGCAGGATGGGGGGAGCATAGGATTCTAACTTGTTTTTAAGGTTAAAAAAAAAACACATCAGATGCTGTCCCTAATTTAAGCAACACATATTATGTAATGGTCTTAATTGATCTCTAGTGGCTATTGCCTGCTCTTAAGATCTTTGAACATCAAACAAATAATAAGTAGTAAACTGAAATGTCATTGTTTGATGAAGTGTCCTAATCTGTTCAATCAGGAAATGGTTAGACTAAATGATTTTACTAGCAAGGAAACACCTGCCTCCTACAAATAACCTATTGCTTGTTTTCCAAACAGTCACCAGAGAGTAAAAGATGGTGCTGTTTACCTAGAGAAGTTCATCAGACATATGTTAAGCATCTATATTCTAAAATTACTGAATTGAAGTATCTACTTAAAATTATTCTGATGGAGCTATTTAACAAATGACATACAAAGTCTAATGGAGTTCACAGTCCTTAAAATATTGTTATTCCAATACATAGCAATCACGTGCACTTCTTTTAATCATGTTTAAAATAGTCACAGCTTTATATTTAACATATTGGATAATATTTTTCAACTACTGCTGCCATGATTTTTAAAAGTATGTGTGTCTTTAGTGATGTTCTAAAACATGAAATTGTGCATTGAAAAGATTTATAGAAGTTGCTTCCTGAAAGGGATGAAGGGAGCTGCATGGAAGCGGAAGAGTTACGGACTGTTAGCACCTGTCACTAACCCCCGGTTTCCCGGAGTCAGTGGCAGCGAGCGACCTTGCAGCCCCGACAGGAGCCCGGAGCTCTTTGTTCTCCCGCGGCCCACGTCTTGCGAGCCCGTCGTCCTGGTTCCGGTGGCCTCGCTGGGTCGCGGGGAGGCGGAGGACTGTTCTTCTGTTACCAAAAGCCAGAGTTGGCCCTGGACGCGACGACTGTCAGGGTCCAGAGGCCATAACACCAGCCGCGGCTGAAAGGTAAAGAAGCTACGTGGAAGAGTGTTTCCTCTTCAGGCCGCAAAGCAGGTACTCTCTGCAGCACCAGCTGCCCCCGCCCTACTCCAGACCTCCCCAAAGACTCCATGAGATGGACCTGAGTTAGCCGAGTCCCAACCCCTCTTCTTGGGCCTGCCGTGGCGCTGGACATCAGTGACTGCGTCGTGACACACAGAAGCAGTGGACCATCAAGGCCACAGGAGGCCCCGGGAGCTTGCAAAGATGAAGTTTGGCTGCCTCTCCTTCCGGCAGCCTTATGCTGGCTTTGTCTTGAATGGAGTCAAGACTGTGGAGACGCGCTGGCGCCCCCTGCTGAGAAGCTACCGGAACTGTACCATAGCCATCCACATTGCTCACAGGGACTGGGAAGGTGATGCCTGGTGGGAGCTGCTGGTGGAGAGGCTCGGAATGACAACTGCTCAGATTCAGGCATTGCTCCGAAAAGGGGAAACGTTTGGTCGAGGAGTCATAGCGGGACTTGTTGACATTGGGGAAACTTTGCAGTGCCCCGAAGACCTAACTCCTGATGAGATTGTGGAACTAGAAAATCAAGTGGTACTGACCAGCTTGAAGCAGAAGTACCTGACTGTGATTTGAAACCCCAGGTGGTTACTGGAGCCCATACCTAGGAAAGGAGGCAAGGAGATATTCCAGGTAGACATCCCAGAGCACCTGATCCTTTTGGGGCATGAGGTGTGACAAGTGTGGGCTCCTGAGAGGGGTGTTGCAGGGAAACCAGCTAAATCATGATTTCAATTCACCATCAGTTGAAACCAGCTCCAGCTAAATCGTTTAGCTGCTTTCAATTCATCTTCAATTCACCATCATGATGCAGACCTACATACATTAGGCTAGATCTGAATTTCCCCTCCTGTGGAGAGTCCCAGCCACTAAGCACTGTGCATGGAAATAGGTTTCTTTGCTCAGAGGAAGGAAGTAGGGGTTGGGGCTTTCCTTGTGTGATGCCTCTTTAGGCACACAGGCAGTGTCTCAAGTACTTTGTCCTTTGGGTAGAAGGAAAAGCTGCCAGTAAAATCTCAGCATGCCTACAATTTTGGTCCTGCTAATTTCTGGATTATACAAATAAATGTGTTGTAGATGAAAAAAAAAAGATTTATAGAAGATCCCCCATATTTTTCATATTAGTAGCAGCAGTCATAGCAGTTAAGAGACATTGTGGAGTTATTTAGCTAATCAGTGTTTGGGTCAGTATTTTCTTTGTGCACTTTACTATACTATGGTGTTTGCTACAGTATATCTAGTTTTGATACATAGTACAATCTCTTTCTTCTTTATACAATTTTCCTTTCATGATTACTTAAATTCTTGGGATACAAGGGAGCAGAAAATATATTTAGTGAATGTTCAGTAAATGTGGTTATGGCTACTTAAATCAATTATTTATAGCAAATTCTAATGTTTGAGAATATATTATGTGTCCTTGACTATCTGGTTTGTGTTTTCGTTACCATCACTTTTAAATTCTTTTTTGGTATTTACAATTTATAGTGGGGAAAGGATTACAAACAAATCATTTGTTACTTACTACCATTTGTACATTAAAAAGGAAAGGTTGGCAATAGCATTATCTCTTTTTAGGTTGTTTGTTCTTTAATTTTCTTTCGTGTACAAAAAAGTTTTTTGTTTTTTTTTTAAACCCACCTAAGTAGTGAACCTTCTCTTTTGCCAAGCTCTGTATGCAATGATTTCTCACTTTTCTGGTGTTTATTTATGTCATCCATGAATATCTAGAATACAAGTAAGAACTAAAAACATAATCCAAAAGGCAAAAAATAGAAAACCAGTATACAACAATTGATATTCATGAAGGAAGGCTCAGAATAAAGTAACGCAAAAATAATGAAAGATATGAGAAAACTTTTCAGAAGGTCTGTGTATGTAATTTTAAAGATTTCACTCTTTATCAGCTAAAAATCAGTGTAAGATAGAAAAACATTTGAATTATAGTACAAAGAGAATGATTTTTATAAATGTCCGGACCAGGGGGAGGGGAGAACAAAGTTTAGATGACTTTAGTCTTCTTATTTGCAGATCCATCTATCACAAGACAATAGTGAAACTAACATATGCTGTGTTTTAGGCCAAAATGTTGTGACCTAAGAATCTTATACCTACAATTTCCTTCATGTGTAAAGGCAACACAATGACATTATTGGATATACAAAGCCTCAGAAGATATATCACTTGGATATTCTTTTTGAAAAATAAAATTACTGGATGATGGACTTTAATTAACCTAAGGATAAGCAAAGATCAAATCAAACAAAAAATTATTCAAGAATGAAAAGTTCTGGTGCATGCCAAAATTAACTAAAATAGATCTGAATTTAAATATTTATTGTGTACACAATATAAACAATGCAAATATAAGAAGAGACTCTTGAAAAGGAAAGTATGTAAGTTAAAAAAGTGTAGCTTTAGGAGCAGCTCAGGATTGCAGCTCCCAGCGAAAGCGCAGAGGGTGAGTGGATGCCGCATTTCCAGATGGATCTTTAATGCCCACAGACCAGGAGATTCCCAGGCGCAGGAGCCCCCTGGGTCACCAGTGTGGCTGTTTTGGCCAGCGCTGCTGTTTTGGCTTGTGCGGCTGTTTTGCCAGTGCCCCAGCATGACGGCTCCCTGTACAAAATACACTAGTCTGGTTGCCCTTTTAAGCTGGCAATTGGAGCTCTGCGAAGGCAGATTCACCCATTCATCTGATTAAATGTGTCTGAAACAGGGAGCCAGGCCAGGAGATTCCCAGGCAGTGCCGTTGTTTCAGCCAGCACAGTGGGTTGCCACATGGGAAATCACACAGATCCTGGCACCCTTTGAGCAGGTGACTGGAGCACCTGGGAGACAGTCAACCATTCAACTTAAAAAAAAAAAAATGCTCAGAGGCAGGGAGCCAGGTGATCAGGCTCGGTGGGTCCCACCCCCACAAAAACAAACAGAAAAGTAGCAATTGAAAATGCTCAGGGTTGAGAGTTTCACGGCAAGCACAGCTGAACCCAGGATGGTGCAGCTTGATGGGGAAGGGGTGTCTGCCATTACTGAGGCACTGTACTCCTACAGAGGTAGTCCGCCATTACTGAAGCAGCCTGCTGTTGCTGAGGCAACCTGCCATTGCCAAGGCAACCCGCCATAACAGAGAGAGCCTGTCATTACATAGGTGGGCCACCATTTCTGAGGCAGTTCTAACCACATCCATATAAACAGAACTGCAGGGAAGTTCACAGGCAGCTCAGCAAAGCCTCTGCAGGCAGACAGTGACTAGGCTGCCTCGTTGCTGGGCAGGGCAGCCCTGAAAAAAAAAAAAAAAAGGCAGCAGCACAGTGGTTACTCATAAATAAAGCCCTAACTCCCTGGGACAGAGCACCTAGGAAAAAAAGGGGAGTTTATGAGTTCTGCTGCAGAAGACTTAAACGTACCTGCCTAGCAGCTCTGAATGAACAATGGAACTCATAGCTCAGCACCTGAGCTCCTATAAAGAACAGACTGTCTTCTCAAGCAGCTCCCTGACGCCCATACGTATATCCAAAGAGTCACTTCACAAAGGATGGATCAGACTGATATTTGGCAGGCATCATTCTGGGACAAAGATAGCAGAAGAAGAAACTGGTAGCAACCCTCACTGTTCTGCAGCTGCTGCAGGTGATCCCCAGGCAAGCAGGGCCTGGAGTGGACCTCAGCAGTCCTACAGCAGAGGGGCCAGACTGTTAGAGGGAAAACTAAGAAACAGAAATAACTTCATCATCAACAATCTGGACATCCACTCAGAGACCCAATCTGAAAATCAGCAACTACACAGACGACAGGTGGATAAATCCACAAAGATGGGAAGAAACCAGCACAAAAAGGAGGAAAACACCTGAAACCAGAACACCTTACCTCCTACAAGGGATTGCAACTCCTCACCAGCAAGGGAACAAAGCTGGATGGAGAATGAGTGTGATGAAATGACAGAATCAGAATTCAGAAGGTGGGTAATGAGAAACTTCCGTGATCTAAAAGAACATGTTCTAACTCAATGCAAAGAAACTGAAAACCTTGAAAAAATATTTGAGGAAATGATAACAAGAATGGACAACTTAGAAAGGAATATGAGTGAATTGATGGAGCTGAAAAACACAACATGAGAACTTTGCGAAGCATGCCCAAGTTTCAACATCCGAAATGACCAAGCAGAAGAAAGGATGTCAGAGGTCGAAGATCAACTCAATGAAATAAAATGAGAAGGCAAGATTAGAGAAAAAAGCACAAAAAGGAATGAACAAAGTCTCCAAGAAATGTGGGACTATGTGAAGAGACCTAATCTACGTTTGATAGGTGTGCCTGAATGTGACGAAGAGAATGAAACAAGCTGGAAAATACTTTTGAGGATATTATCCAGGAAAACTTCCCCAACCTAGCAAGGCAGGTCAATATTCAAGTCCAGGAAATACAGAGAACACCAGAAAGACATTCCTTAAGAAGAGCAGCCCCAAGGCACATAATCGTCAGATTTATCACCAGGGATGAAATGAAGGAGAAAATGCTAAGGGCAGCTAGAGAGAAAGGTCGGGTCACCCACAAAGGGAAGCCCATCAGACTCAGCAGATCTCTCAGCAGAAACCTTACAAGCCAGAAGAGAGTGGGGGCCAATATTCAACATCCTTAAAGAAAGGAACTTTCAACCAAGAATTTTACATCCAGCCAAATTAAGCTTTGTAAGTGAAGGAAAAATAAAATTCTTCGTGAACAAGCAAGTACTCAGAGATTTTGTCACCACCAGGCCTGCTTTACAAGAGCTCCTGAAAGAGGCACTACACATAGAAAGGAGCAACCAGTACCAGCCACTCCAAAAACATACCATATGCTAAAGAGCATCAACAAAATGAAGAATCTGCATCAACTAATGGGCAAAAGAACCAGCTAGCATCAAAATGGCAGTATCAAATTAACACATAACAATATTAACCCTAAATGTAAATGAGCTAAATGCACGAATCAAAAGACACAGACTGGCAAATTGGATAAAAAGCCAAAACCCATCGTTGTGCTGTATCCAGGAAACCTATCTCACATGCAAGGATACACAAAGGCTCAAAATAAAGGGATGGAGGAAGATTTACCAAGTAAATGGAGAGCAAAAAAAAAAAGCAGGAGTTGCAATTCTCGTCTCTGATAAAATAGACTTTAAAGCAACAAAAATCAAAAGAGACAAAGAAGGCCATTACATAATGGTAAAAGATCGATACAAGAAGAAGAGCTAATGATCCTAAACATATACGGACCCAATACAGGAGCACCCAGATACATAAGGCAAGTTCTTAATGATTTACAAAGTGACTTAGACTCCCAGACAATAACAGTGGGGGACTTTAACAGTCCACTGTCAATATTAGACAGATCAACCAGACAGAAAATTAACAAGGATATCCAGGACTTGAACTCAGACCTGGAGCAAGCAAACCTAATAGACATTTACAGAACTCTCCACCCGAAATCCACAGAATATACATTCTTCTCAGCACCACATCACACCTACTCTAAAACTGACCACATAATTGGAAGTAAATCACTCCACAGCAAATGCAAAAGAATGGAAATCATAACAGTCTCTCAGACCACAGTGCAATCAATTTAAACTCAGAATTCAGAAACTAACTCAGAACTGGACAGCTTCATGGAAACTGAACAACTGGCTCTTGAATGTTGACTGGATAAACAATGAAATGAAGGCAGAAATAAAGAAGTTCTTCAAAAGCAGTGAGAATGAAGATACAACATACCAGAATCTCTGGAACACATTTAAAGCAGTCTCCAGAGAAAAATATATAGCAATAAGTGCCCAAGTGAGAAGAGTGGAGAGATCCAAAATTGACACCCTATCGTCAAAATTGAAAGAGCTAGAGGAGCAAGATCAAAAAAACTCAAAACCTAGCAGAAGACAAGAAATAACTAAGATCAGAGCAGAACTGAAGGAGATAGATACACAGAAACCCCTTCAATAAAACCAATAAATTCAAGAACTGGTTTTTTGAAAAGCTCAACAAAATAGACAGACCACTAGCCAGATTGATAAAAAAGAAAAGAGAGAATAACCAAATAGATGCAATAAAAAATGATAAAGGGGAAATCACCACAGATCCCACAGAAATTCAGACCATCATCAGAGAATATTACAAACAACTCTATGCACAAAAACTAGTAAACCTGGAAGAAATGGATAAATTCCTGGACACTTGCATCCTCCCAAGCTTAAACCAGGAAGAAGTTGAAACCATGAATAGACCAATAAAAAATCTGAAGTTGAGGCAGCAATTAAGAGCCTACCACACAAAAAAAGCCCAGGTTCAGATGGATTTACAGCCGAATTCTACCAGACACACAAAGAGGAACTGTTACCATTCCTCCTGAAACTATTCCAAATAATCCAAAAGGAGGGAATCCTTCCCAAATCATTTTATGAGACCAACATCATCCTGATATCAAAACCTGGCAGGGACTCAAGAAAAAAAGAATACTTCAGGCCAATATCAACGATGAATATACACACAAAAAACTTCAATAAAATACTGGGAAGCCGATTGCAACAGCACATCA